ATACGATATTTTTAGTAAGAGCCATATCTTTCTCACTTTTTATAAGATAGGCTTGTTTGCAAAGTTCTTTCCCATGAAGCTGATCTCTGCTCTTCGATTCCCAATGAGTTTCTTCTTGCCATCGCGTACTTCAATAGGAATGGAAAAGACCCACTATAGCAAAGGAAAAATACCCGGAAGTGAAGCGGATATCTGACCTTCGGCACTAGTTCTTCAACTCCCTTCCTATTTACTAGTGATTCCGATGTCATTGTTCTTGTTCGCTGGCGGCGCGGTCATCACGTCGGCTGGACGACACCAATTATCCGCAATAAGGCGATCGCTGATTGGCTTAAGCGACACAGGGCGTGGCTACCGTAATCGCCTTCGAAGATGTCGTCGCTGGTGACGAGGCCTCCCACTTCTCCTCAATCCCATCACGATCTCTATCACTATGCAGTCGTTCGCCATCGACTCGTTAATCGGGAACAAGGTAAGCACTGATTCGCATCAACTTCTTTGGTGTTTTTTTTTTTTGATAGTTGAAGTTATTGCCGTCAATAAACACCTCTGACGCCACATGGGTTCAATACATTCGACAAAAATTCATCTTTGTCATACTAGGAGTTTTTTAAAAAATGTTATGTGCTCCGCAAAATTACACACACAGCAAGTTAAAAACTGCCTCAGAGTATAGAATTTTCTTGAGATTTTCGCATGTGCGATATGTTTACTATTCATTAGAAAAAAGCAATTTACAAACAATCCCGATAACTCTTATCGCAAGTGGTCCTTAAAACTTTCCACAAACCTTTCTGTTCTTGCCAATTCAAGATTTCAGTTATATATACGGCCTACATTTTATTCGATTATTTTGTGTGCAACCTTATCCGCAATATTAAGCTTACCTCGCCTGTAAGCCAAAGTCCTGTCAGCGGTTCCGACGAGGACTACTCTCAACGAGAACTTCGCGTGCCGACGAGCAGCTCACAACACCATCCTTATGTAAGCCAAGGTGCGCACACTGTAGATCTTCAAAATGTTCTACTTCAATTTCACATATGAGAATCTGTGTCCATTAACCTACTGTGTGTCTATCGTTGAAAAAGTTAACATCAAAGTGAGAAAAAATATTCGTGAGATTCAGTTCACCCAGGCACTTAGCGCTCATCAAGATGATGTCCTCAAGTGTTTCTGAAGAGGAAATCCCTAGACGTCATCATAGATTTGAAGATTTGCATAATTTTCCCAACACCCGTCTCACATGGTCATCGTTTGGCTCAATTCGACAGCTTTTATGATCCCTCAAATATTTTCATATAGGTCTTTATCTTTCCATCATCTCGTTGTTTGTTAATTTAACGCTAAAAAGCATGGAAACTTATCTTCTAAGGCAATCCCACTTGTCACTACATGAAATCTTGGATTTTCCGCCTTTGTGAGGAATAGTATTGGCGACAGTGATAATTTCTTATAACAATCATGTTGCCGATTTGTAAAGATCTTATTCCATAAATCTACTGAATTTAATATTTGAGAGTTTCCTGTTCATGACCACAAGCAGTCACCGCATTTTGTAGACCATAGGGAGCTTTGCCACTATAGGAATGCGTTCACTCTAAGAAAGGCCACGTATTTCTGCATAGATTCATTTGTGGTCACGAGCACATCGAACTCGTCCACATCTTGATGGACAGACCTGAGGAACAAATCCCACACTTTACACCACAGCTCATTGGAACACCTTGAATGATGAAATAATATGAACGGCCGATCTGTATTCTTTAGGTTACACTGGGCAAAAGAAGGTTGGAAACTGTATATCTTCTTTTTTCATTATGATGTTTTGTTATAACAAAATTACAATTATTATAGAATTTGATCTTGTTAGTGGGAATATCAGTCAATAATGACAGCTGGGAGGGCAAATAAAGCATTTATGTTTTGAGTTAAATAAAAGCGGTTGTAGGGATGTGGTCATTCAACCTTCAGATGTTCAGATGAACTTCTTATCGCCAAAATAAACCTATCATTTAATATCTTGTTCTATTCTAGTGAAGATATTTGTCTATTAATCTTCGTTCTGTCATTCTATAGCATCCAAGTGGGTCATGCACAGTACGACAGCTGTTAAAAAGATCAGTTGCGCTGTTTTTTGTTCAGAACCTTGTTTGATCGGATATAACCGTCCTGAACGTCGTTCTTAGGTCTTCTTTTCATGATCTTTCTATGCTGGACAGTTCACGCGGACACGTGTCGTTGTGACAAACGATCGTCTCCGAGAGGGCTGGCTGTCTGGCTGGCCGGACGGCCTGCCTAATTACCGTGCTGCTTCGCTTCCATACATTATGTTCGCCACAAAATCACCCATCGCAACTGGACATACTGAGATTAATGAGCTAATCAACACAGATTTACATACACTTAATTACGTTGATGAAACAAAAACCGTCAACGATTCCTCATTCATTTTTCGTCTCTGTTGTTGGCACTGCTGGTGCTATCACACGCTTCTGCTCATTGACACATCTGTAGGTTTTTCATGCAAAGCAGCAGCTAAGTCCATTTCACGAATACTCGTTGAAAAAATAGGTAGAAGAAAAGACTATATCAAGCTAAAGAATCACAGACAATGTTATCAAAGTCACGACACTGCTTCCTACAACGACAAAATGAACGAATTATGTGCCCAGGTGAAGGTAAGAAAGTTATATTTTGCAATTGCTAAGGTTATTGAGGCTATCCTATGGTGCCGAAAGCTTATCTGCCAGCAAATTTTACTTTTATGTGCTTACGATTTCTACACTCTTTTCAAATAACGTATTGTTTTTCATAAAACTGATATTAATCACTTCTTTAACAGCCGAAGAAAACAACGGTAGTATGCCGTCTAACCCGTTTTTGATCATAAATACGTTTCGACGTCAGCTACTTTTGCAAAGAATTACTATAGGTTGAGATTTCCTCTTTTTGACCGATCTAAAATAAGTTGTTAGTGTGCAGAATTCTCACAAGAAAAAAGAGTTATTCTTGATAGAAAAACAGGAATCTTTACTATGTAGTAGCCTTACTACAAACATGAACATAGATCTTTACTTTTATTCAAACCTAACCCTACGGAGCAAATAATCTAGTAAATTAACCACCTTATCAGCGACGTTCACTATGAGAGCATGGGAATAACGGCAGTGATCCTAGGGTAGCCGCATTTCGCGTCATAAAACTGATTTCGCAAAATGTGTGCGTGTGTGATTGCTCTGCGATTAAGTTGTAAAGCAAGAAAGAGAGAGAAAGAGGGAGAGAGAGAGAAAATGAGAAAGGTGAATGGTTAGACAATCACTAAACGACCAAAAGGTAGAGACAGTTATGAGGTTTGTCCAAAGTACAGTAAGCCGACAGGTGAGTCGTGGTCGACTCCAGCGCGGTACGCCTTTATTTAGCGCCGTAAACAGGTCTGATTGTAAACTCGTCGTGCGCCGGCATAAACATGTTCTTTCGCGGTGACAACACCGCCACAAGGTGCGATAATTGCGATAGGATCATACGGTAGTGAGCCATGTGTGAATGCACAATACACATGCTTCTGCCGTTGATTCGCAACCGATCACAGGAAACGGTTGACGTTCTGTTACATATTTTCATGGTCGTATTGAGGGTTTTCAAATTTAAAGATGGCATTATTTGTGTGGGAAAACCTTTCCTGTTGTAGAGCACTTGACAAGTACAAACAGCTTGTACATCTGCTTGATTTCACAATTCTTCTTTTTTCTCCTTCCTCCTTGTTATCTATCCGAGGCAGGTAGTTTCGATGTTTGCTGGTTCAATTTAATTCCACTTTTACTCTGTTTAATTAATCGTATTTGGCTAAAGAATGACCTATAAGAGAGTCATCTTTGACATTTCTACGTCTCTCTCGTATTTGCTATGTACTTCAAATCAACTCTCACCAAAAATCTTTGTAAAGGAACCAGAAGTAGTCGAATGACAGCATTTTTCATGGAAGTGGTTGCTTTCAGAAACCTTTTTATGATAGTACTAGTTAGGATATTAAATTACTACTAGCCAGTTAACCGGAAAAGACTAGGAAATTTCATACCCGTTTAGCAGCGCTCATTCAAAGCATATCATTTCTGTCAAATAACTGGTAATGAAAAGTAGCACCTTACAGGATGAAGCTAAGCTTCCGAGTATTCCGTCCTCATCCGCCGTGGCGTGAACATTTTTGCAAGACATACGCTAATCGCTCAATAATGCGCAATTAAAGAGCATTTCTACGACTTGCTGTCGTTGATAATTTGTCCGTCAATTAGTCACAAACTAGTACTGACTAGTAATTGAGCACACTCCCACTTGACACCGTATACCTCATAAACGGCGCCAAGACCTTCTGCGTCAATTAAAGCCATTTTCTCGATTAAATGTTTTCCATAGCGGTACTATAGTCGTTAATGAGCTTATGTTGAACGGAAACACCACCACCACCGATAAACCGAGTCAAATCAACGAATTTTTCGGCGCTGATCAACCCTCATGATGCCATTTTGTACTGCTAGTGAATCGACAAGACACTTTGCTATAAAGCACTTTTTTCGAAAAGTTTCCTCCTTTTAGAGCCCGAAAAATGCCAGCTTAACATGCAGACTAGTTGTTTCATAACACTGCACTATAGTACCAAGCTGTTTTTCCAACTATCCTAAGCACAGTAGGTGTTGGAATTCTTTCGGTGGTACAAACTTAAACTTTGTTGAATTCCCGGCTTTTTTAAAATTTTATCTAACCTATCTTCACGTCTGCCGTGCGGATCCCACCACTTCTCACATTCGATTCTTCTTTTCTTCGCATCCGTTGTCCACGAAGACCTTCCAACTTTTACGTGTGGCTTCGGTTGTTGCTTGATGATTTTCATTTCATCTTGAATGTCGTAGAATGTTGGTCGGGTAATTCTCCCTGGAGTTCTGATGTAACCAAGCTAGAGCGTTCCCAATTGGGTTGCAGAGAGTGCTTTTTCCCGGACAAGTCCGATGCTAATTTCCCGACCCCGGAAGGATGAAGGAATTGGTTGGCTAGGAGCGGAATCGAGCTAGCACCATGCTAGTGATGACGAACATCACTACCACTGTGCTATCCACCTTCTTAAATTATAGTAGCAGTGGTAAAAGTAGTAGCACTTACACAGCTATGTACCTCATGGCAGTCTTTTTCCATATTTTAAATGCTTAGTTTTTATTTTAGTTGTTTGAAATTGAACAAGATGAAATAAGCTATGAATGCCATAATAATAAATTTTATGAAGTCGCATTGTATTACCTATACGTTTCCCCTCCATATCCAAGTGATAAAATCCCATGCGTTTTTTTCTTAACTTTTTTCTTTCTTTCTACTAGAGCTAGTCATTCAGATCCCCGTGAAGACAACCAGATCCGGCGTTACCGTACTGCGTTTTCTCGAGAGCAGATCGGTCGATTAGAGCGTGAATTTGCGAAAGAGAACTATGTGTCGCGAAAGACTAGAGGAGAGCTGGCCGCCGAACTAAATCTTCCTGAAGGCACCATAAAGGTGAGTATTGTGCGGTAGTAAGTGACTGAGAATGCACACTCGTTTGAAGTAGATGACATTCTCCTTCTTATGAAGCCTATGCCCATACTACAAGCTTTCCCTAATTGTTACTACATATTCTTATTGAAAGTGAATTACAAGATTTTCTTGCGCTACTGCGAAGTGCTCTCTTGGCGAAAATAAAATTTTGACAGCTTAGTTTGTACTCAAGTTGGGCATTTCCCAACTATGGAATGTAAAGTGTGCAGCGTTCAATCTTCATGGAAGAAAATATTAAACGAAAATCTGTCTTAAACGCTCTCTTGTCTTAAAAAATGACTTGACATCAACATAGCTATTATACTCAAGGGTTATAATAGTAGAAAACCCTAAAAAATTGTTTAAGTGGTTCAGGTTTTATTTGATAAAACCTGTTTTGGAATATTATGCTATAGTTTTTTGCCTTTTTTACATTTTAGTTTTGATATAGTTTCCTTTTGTCTGTCTTATCACGACAGTGTCCTTTATAGTAGCAGCAAAATAAATTTCAGATTAAGGCATTTTCTGTCCAAGGACCTACACCGCTAGTTCTTCAAGCTCCCTTTGGCTTACCGTATCCCATTATCTATAATCAGCTACCGTAGTTCAACTTCGCAATGCTGTTGGGGTAAACTCTTAGAGCGTAATTCATTGGTCTCGTGGGATAAAGGATTTGACTGCATAAAGCCATATGAAGAGATGTTATGCGCGTAGATGATTGATGTAGGCAAGAAGGCGAGGCCTTCAGAAGCTATCAGAGACAAGGAGTAGCGCGTTCGGCACCAACTACTACGGTATACGAAGGTATTAAAAATTCGTCAAATGTTTACGAAAGTGGAACCACACTTTAATTGAGGCCATTTTGTTGAGTATTATTGTCATGAGGTCTATCTTCTCGGTTAAAAAAATGTAATATGTTATTGTTTATTGTATTGGAATATTGGAGGCTGAAAAAGGAACTGTGCAGCGCTAGGGAAATAAAGTGGATGAAACTGTAAATGAAAAGAGACCAAGTATTTTGAAAATAACCTTTGGCACTGGCATGATTTTCCGGGGTCGAAAAGTCACGAGTTCATCACTGCTTGCTATTAAAATTCGCCAAGCTTAACCAGGTGAACATGGTTGTTTCTATGTGATATTGTGTTCTCACAACTATTCTTTTAGGATACTTCGTAAACATTAATGTATAACCCTGCCGATTAGTATTTGCAAAAGTTTCCGACACCGCTTTCTATCACTGATGTCTTATTAAGGTATGGTTTCAAAATCGTCGGATGAAAGACAAGCGCCAGAAGGTGGGCGGCATTGCCTGGCCGATGATCCCGCCACAACTCGCCTACCTCATGCATCCATTTAGTTACGACATGTGGGCGAAGACTGTGTTCGCCTATCCGTCGAGGTAAGCACGTACTCGCCAGGAAGGGATCATTTAAGTATTATAAATAACCTGTTCTATGTTCGATACCCTAAAATGAGTTGAAAAAGGCACTTTAAGCGTGATGGTATTCATGGAACACTCAAGTGTTTGGAAACGAGTTTAGAGACATAAAGAAGCCAGGCGGATTTCTTTTTGTGATTACTGCCTTTGTTAGCAACTAACGAAAAATTTTTAAAAATTGTTTGGGTCATGAAGAAGTTATTATAACGCACCTGAGATAAATTGATCTTAGAAATGGAGGCTATAGGCAATATGAATTTAGAGACCTTTCATAATTTTTTGTTACAACTTCCTGTTCCCAGGGATAAGGTTTCCCACAACCGATGTGAGAGAAGAGATTGTTTGAAAAAATCACCGCTTGTGTTAAATCACATCAACGTGACGGTTTTATTACGACATGGCGTCTTCGCAAGACCCACAACGGTAACAACAATGCGCAATCACTACACTTTGAGAGATTCCGCCAACGACAAGGGCAATCGTTGACAGTCCAGTTGTCTTTGCAGCCTAAACTTTTCGTGTCTCCTAAGAGATATGCCAAATGACACATAGTGGTCAGCCGAATTCCTACTGAAGATGAAAGCCCGGTCGTACGACCCGGGTCTCGAAATCGTTCACGTTTTCATTAATGTTGAAATAGAATTTTGTTCCATCAAGTAGGTTATGTTTGACGTAAAACCTAGAATTATAGTTGTTTTGAGATAGAAACATGGCTAATTGGTGAGCATCAATGCCTGTAGTTCGTCTAAAATATTCGTAATACGGAACAGTGTGCATGTCCACTTGATTGAGGCAAGCTATAACAAACCGATGAGCTACGTATCATGGGAAGTTGGTGATTAAGAAATGTTTTCACCAATGATTTTTGTTTTCGTGGTCTCTTTAATTAGCCGCTTAAACCGATGAATCACTCCACTGCTAAGCTTCAAAGCATAAACGCGCGATCATTTCTAATATAAGGGAGCGTGTGGCACAGTGGTTGGAGGTACCATTGCGACACACGTGGAATCGATCCCTGCGCCCATGGCCCACCAAGCCCTCCATCCCGCCGAGCTTGGCAAATTGGTACCAGCATTGTCTGGATTGTCTGGAAGGATACCAGCATTGGCTCTACACATCGGTAGGCCACCGCGAGTCGTTGTAAAGGCCAGATATGCATTCAATCACCTCCAACGATGGTTAGTAAAGTCGATTGCATGGCGCATTCCTCAGGGATTGATCAACGCCGAGAGCTTTATCCTCTTTTTATTCTTTGTCAGAAGTGTGCATAGCCATAATTTCCCATCATATTCGTCTATAAACATGCAGTCCTTGGTCTTGTAGGTAAGTTCTCAAATTCGGTTGAGACAATCATACACTGCTTGCCGTACATAGTTGGCAACAATTTTACGCGACGATAATAATGAGTTATTCCAATTAGTCTTGAAATCCTGGCACTGTGGCCGTTTTTGTTAGGTCTGGTGATCCCATGCTGGAATAAAACTTTTACTCTCAATCTTTTCAAGATCCCTGCTACACATTTGACCACTTTCTACATATAATCCATGTTTCTAGCCGTGAAGGTTTTTTAGAAACTTATTTTACGTGGGATTGTATGGTCTTATTAAAAGGAGATTGACAATTTAAATCCTCGAATTTTGGCCGAAGTCCGTTATCAGTTAGTGTTGACCACCAAATGTGCAGCAGATATTAACGAAAATCTCATTAGCGCTCATCTTGATACTATCTAGGCTAAAATTTGGCCCTCTGTGGCAACATTTTCTAGGCATTTCTTTTTCGATCGCCTACCTGCCCACTTACCAACAGTAGTCGCAGTAGTCGCAGGAAAAGTTTAGAAGACAATTTGAGGAAAGGTAACACTCGAAGAAAGGCAGATAGTTTTCTGAATTTCCCACATGAATTAGTCACATTTACGACTTTTTTGCAATCAACCAAGCGTTTCGTTTAGGAGTTATTTGTTTACTAGAAGACTTATCTTGAAAATTTCTGCTTTAATCTTCAGTTACGGCAGAATTACATTTCCCAGGTGGATTATTACCGAATTTCCAAATGAACATTTTGCCGTTCTCAGACATCGATAATTAAAAATCGAACCAACGACTCAGTACGTGACTGTGGTAACTTAACGGTTTGGGTGGTAGCATTCTATTGAGTGTATTACAGTATCTCTCTCCTATGACGATATCACTTATTTTCAAAGTATTTCTTATTGTTACATTCCCACCAGAGTTTTCGTTTGCAGCCCAATGTTGCCCCAACGATTGCCGACAGTTCCCTTCACCACACAAAACGATATGTTTCAAAATTCTCCCGAAAGATGTGAAGACGTCAAACCAATCACCATCGCCACAGCTCTTGAACTGACGAATCAAGATACGCCTTCGGCTGAATCGACATCTCCACGATGACTTCCAACGCCATGAGTTGGGTGGAGGTGATGTTCATGGTAGACACTGATTATTTAGTTATATCCGATGGCTTTTCTATACTAAGGTGTTCGTGATGATTTCATTCCCCATAGCATTTTCTCTTGTTGTGCAATTTGTTGTCAATTTTTTAGAATTCTCGAATTGCCTTCCTTGTTTTGGACGGTGTTCAAAGAGGTTTTGCAATGTTTAAACAATTTGGTCTCTGATCCTCTGTTTGTGAAGTGTCGTCGATTAGGTTGCGTAGTCTCATTGCTATCCATTTCCTGTGAAAAGTTTATGACTCTTTCTTTTTTTTGAAACTCGGTTAGTAGGTATGAAAATTTCAAAGCTTTATAATGAAGAGTAGAATACACTGTCTGAAAGCTCTTTATGTTTGGCCCACTTTATTAATCTCTCATTTCCACTCACTAGTCCGCTCCGGCTTTTTTCAAACGATGTTCTGTTGAGCAAAAAATATCTCATATTCAGTGATACTTGGCTTTATTAGCAAAGGAATAAGATCAGAAGTACATTTCCTGATAAGCGGATCAACACTGCATTTGGTTTGAAACCAGAGTTATGGAACGCACCGTCGAATATCCAGAAAACAGGATTTGCGACATTTTGAGACGAATCTCTTAGTAGATCCCGCAACCAAAAAACTCAGAAGTTCAAGGGCAGACAAGGAGCTTTCAGACTTGAGCACCAAATAGAACAGCAGACGTTTTTTTTAGCCACCTATAGAAGCATTTTTCTTAGAAGTCCGACTTTTTATACCTACCAACGTAAGACGCTAGATACTAATATTACTAAAATGTGCCATCTACTTCCTCAACGATTATTTCTATTTTTCAAATCTATGCCTCTCATTGTTTTTTGGCACAGACTTTTAAATCATGGTGCTTTTTTTCTCTGTTTAGCTACAGAAAATCTGTGCAATAAAACTCTATGGTCTCTCGCTTTATAAACTTTTTTTAAAGACGTTTCATCGTTTCTATACATTTCGACTAGAAATGCCGTAAAATATACTCAGAGTTGTGCATTTGGTGCTATGCTGTGTGCTCATCAAACTCTCCATCTCCTGTGGATCGAAAAATTTGTAGCCAGCTTGTCTGGGAGGATAAGAGCACTGACATAATACAGCACACGATCGGTTGATACAGACGCCGCAAATCATTCTATGGGTCAGATTTCTACTTAAACACTCCAACGATGCTTGATGAAGTCGAATACGTGAATCATTCCTCAGAGAGTGTTCAACGCTGAAATCGTTATCCTTTATCCTTAGTGGTTTAAACGAATCTTCTCCTGTTTTCTCCTGCTATAATTCTCCTGCTATAGCTTTGCAGGCTCAGGTGCAAAGCACTACGGCATTTCCATCCTTCGATAGAGTTCGGAAGTGCGACAATTACCATCAGGGTTAATGAGTTCGAGTGCCGAAAACACTACGAAACATGATGGTGTGTTGCTGAAAACTATAAAAACACTAATATAGAAGTGTAAAAACTAATGCAAGAGATTACAATCAGACTAATAACATCTAGAGAAAATTGTCCTGAAGGCTGGTGAGCTGCAGAATAAAGTTCGTACTGCATTGTAAATTGAGTCACTTTTGATTTCTACTTCTTCTGCAATAAGATTTGAGCAGAAGTGGTTGTGAGTTGTAAAAGTTCTTCTTTTTGTTTTCGAAAGTACTACAAACTGAGTCTTTGAGGAAAGTTTAGCAAACTCATAAAATATCTAACATCATTTATCCACAAAGAGCCTAAATCGCTCTTGAAGGCCTAACGTTATCCAGGTAGGCATACTAGAAAAACACAAGAATTTCTCAAACTTAGGTTTCGCCAACCTCCTAATGGTTTACTGTCCCACCATGGCTAGGAGGTGTTCCTGCGTGTCGGGATGCGATATACAGCGGGGGAATCATCTGTCAGTAGGGCCTACCTAGCTGAGAACAAATACGCCGTTTCCATCAGGAAGTCTAGCTACGAGTAAACCACTACCAGGATCCGCCTCCACCCTGGTATCAAGGTAGTCGCATGGTGGCAAATTTTCGTCTGATCTATAAGGGCGGCGGCTGCCTGGAGTTGTGGCGATCTAGGACAGGCTTCAGGTACGCTAACCTCAGGACTCCAAGCAGCTGGTATGGCTGTGCCAGCAAAACTCCGAAAAAGTGGAAATTATGCTGGGAGCCACACAACTAGACGGGCCATCCAACTATCCAAGTAAGATGCCTTTAAAGTTTACTAGTCAAGTAGTTGGAAAACAAACAATGTTGCCTAATTGTACCATTTGGCCATAGAAAGGCTGGCATATTTTTGCATTATTTCTAACAATATCCTTTAAGAATATGTCCCCACATTCAAACAACGACGGAAGGTTAAGCATTCGGTCAATAAGGATGTTTTGTACGAGATTTGATATGATCCCCGCTTAATGAAATGATAAAGAATCAATCAGACGTCTATGATCAAGTTTGTCGACGTACGCACGTAAACCGCATGGATGAGTTGCAAACGCAAACAGTGGTTTGTTGGAGGGCAGGGGATCTGCTGAATGGCGTGCTCATCTGACGAGCTGACAGCACGACTCGCAGCTGATATGCATGTCTGTCGGCCGCCGGCTCGTGATAAATGGTTCGACTCGAGAGAGCTCTTTTATTACGCTTCATGAATAAATTTGCATTCGAACACACCATTAACAGCCTCTAACAATCCACTAATTGAACGTTTTACGAGTTCGTTAATACGCTCGCAACGCGAACCAAAAAGAACAGCCCTCATCGAACAGATCGGTTACATGCTGGGCATTCCGAAGGATTCGTGAGAGGAACAAAGATTCGATGAAGAATAGAAAAAAAAAGAATGGAAAAAAGGAAAGTAGGAAGGAAGGAAAGGAGAAGAAGAGCATGACTTCGCCAAAAACCTTTGAATGAAAGTGCTGAGGTTGTGGAGGACTAAAATGCATAAACACCTCAAGGTGATGGACAAACACTTGCTATTTGGCTTTTCATTAAAACATACGTCAAGTTTGAATTATTCGACGTTGATAAATTTTTTGGATATGCATCATAAATTTGATTCCATGAAGTATCGTGGAGGTGCCCACACCGAAAGATACACCAAATGTTGCCGTCAATTTCTTCATAGATGAAACCGTTGCCCATTAATTCACATGGCCTCTCTCAACTAGTAGTCATATTTTTATGAGATGGGTGCGTTGAAAGGTATTTCTAAAGATCTCCGTAGGGTTTGATCGCGCTTATCACAGGAATGCTTCATCGAAATCTTGATGATCACGTCATTATTCCGACTGTACATATGAAATGATTGACATCTCGAAGCCTTCCTTTAAAGCCATTTTTCCTTCTCCATCGAGCTATTCTTCTATACTTTGAACGACTATCATTGTTTTAGTTTTTTGGCAGCTAAGTAAAATCACAAGACCCTGTTGTCTTCGTAGTGTTGAAAGTGTCACTGCACGTTTTTACTGACATTGCGAAGTGTTTCATAGCTTCGGAATTTTTTCTGACAATCACATTGTCAATTTTTTCTGACAATCACATTGGATTCTCTTGATGTGAAAGACCTGTCGGAATGAAAACTTGCAGAAAATGTTTTTGTAATACAGGACCAACTCTTTGCTTTCTTTTTTAGGTAAAGACAGTTTTTTCTTAACTCGTGATTGAAAAAAATTTTAATATAGCTGAGAGGATGCTTGAGCGACTTGTACAAAAGTGACAGCAATGTAAAATTTTCTAGATCCGTGCCGTAGTAACGATGGGTGCTCCGCAGATCAGCACATAGGTTTCTTACAATCTGATAAAGTTCTTTTCTTTTGTGATAGTGCATTCCGATGTTTCTACTAATGAAAGGCTAGATAAGAAGAACTAGAAAATCATGTTGTTTAATATTCGCATGAATCAATTTCGTTAAAATGCCGCTGGCACCAAAATTAGAAATAGAAATTTTCTTAGAGATATCAAACCGTTAGTAGCCCTTCTAAAGGAGTAAACTCTGTACTGAACTTAGTTTCTGACTTACGGAAACTCCTATGCCTTGGTGAAGCAGTCAACCATTGATAGAGTTTGCACTGCTAGTGACCGAATTTCATGACCAGATGGTTACCGTGAGCACATGTGAAGTGAATACTTATCAAGATGATCCGGTTTTGCATAATGTGCACTTTCCAAAACGTTTTTAATTCGATTCTTTGTTTTGCAGCCGTCATCCATCAAGGTGTGTAAATATTTCCGTACTAGTTCTTAGGAAGGCGAAATCTTGAAAAGCGCTGTCCGCCGCTACACCATACATTAGTTACGTCGTCTCAACAGTAACTCAACGACTAGTGATGGAAGTAGAAATTTGCTTATGGGAATCCTTACATCTTAGTGGGATTTAATTTTAAGCTTTTCTTTTGCTCTAATGGTAATATTCATTTGTTGAAAATGAATGGTGAGAGAGTTGATGGGCGACGATACATCGAATTTTTTTTAACAAATAAAAATAAATTGGCTTTCAATCTTACGAAGATAAATAAATATGGTTCCGCTTGCCGCTGCATTGTTCATCGCTAAACCGCAATCTCCAGTCCTTCACAATATCATCTTCTGTAAAGCATAGCGTTGCAAATCGCTTTCGCTTATCTCTCAAGATCCGATTACACACTTTTGAGCCGCATTCACCTTCGCCTCGCTTCAGTATTCTAATTTAGGATAGACTGTTATGTAAGTAGACGAAGAAAAATATCTCTGAACAATGCACTGCAATTTCTCTTTGTGGAAAAAGAAAAGCCTAGCCGGTGCTCACTCTTCAAATTTTCAAGATGCTTTCGCAGAGAACTGATCTCGAAAGTTAGTGATTTGAAACGCGCTCCAACTACAAAGTCAGAACTGACATTCTTTTTGTTCATTAGAATAGGGTGACTAACTGATTATTTTATAAAATTCTCTTTTAGATCACTTCCGTTTCTTCGTCAAGGAGGGTAAATCATATAAATAAAAGCGATCTTTTTTTTCTGGCAAAGAGCTGTATGAAACGAAAGTGTCACGTAGCGATATGCAATTCAGAGAGTTGCATCAATTTCTCACATCATCGCTTAGACCGAAGTGTTTTATTTCAAGCCTATAGAAGGCTTTAGAAATTTTAGAGTTTAAACTGTAACTGTTAAGATCCAATTGGACCAAACGAACGAATAAAACGGTCAAATGGTTCCAGCCATCGAAGTGAACTGCTGATTAAACAGCGTACTTGTCATTTCCTTGGTATTGTTCGTTGCTTACAAAAACAGCAAAATTGTTCGATTTAAAAAAAAAGAATCTGCGATCCAGAATCTGGTTGAATTGGTTGAAACTGAAGCCACGCGTTTCTGATTCACTCGGTAACGGCGGCTATCGGGGTCAGAGTATGCGGGCGAAGCCGCGGCATCAATCAGAGACAATCGTGTTTTTCCTTCTTTCCTAGGGATTAGGCGACCATCATCGAACTCGTCCCAAAGACCAGTTCTCAGACTCGAGACCGTATCCCCGACCTGCTTTCTCTGGTTCCAATTACTATTATGACTCCGTTATAGGATTCCATTTACAGCTCACCCTTAACGACATCAAAACGCCGGAAAGATGTTTCTTTGTGAGAAAGGAGTTGCCCGAAATGTGTCAGCATATCCGCATTATCGTCTACTTCTCTTCTTTGAGTGCCATATGCCTCCTCCTTTCGTGATGTGTTTCATAGCCTATGTGGAAAGAATTTTTGTTGTAAAGAATGCCTGATGTCTCGAATGAAATGGACTTCGAACTCAAGCTGTAGTAGCTGGCGATTTATAGTCTGCACAAATGATCTGCCACTTTTACGTTCTTTCTTTCTCTTACAATACTACTACATGCCAGCATTACCAAAGCCGCATTCAAAAAATTTGTATGAATTAAGATTGATACTGTTCGAATTTTCAAGTGAATATGTTGACCGAGAAGTGGTCTATCAGTTATCATCGTTAAAGTGTTTTTAAAATATTAAACAAAAGATTGAGAATGCGAAATATTTTGCAAAAAAGCTAGGTCGTATTTTTACACTATAAAAATTTTTTGAGAAGGTTGCAAGTAGAAAATATTGCGTAGAAATATTTCAAAAAACCATCGACCGTAAAGTCGGATCATCGGCTCTCAAGAAGGCGATAACGTTGAAACGTTAGCTGAATAACCCTTTTGCAAAACTCTTGTCAACTTAACCTTCCAAGAATGTATTGTGTAGAAAGTTATCTTATATCTCGAATTGTCTCAGCCAGCACTAAGTGAGCCAAGTGCTTGGAACTGCCCTCCGTACTGCCGCCCGTACTCCGCACCGCCGAACAACTCGATAAGTGATCGCCACCGATCGCACAAGGTGCGACGGTCTCGTCACAGATTGCCGTTTATGCCGGTTCTCGATGGATCCGATTGCAATTCCTTGTTTCTCGAAATGCATCATTGATTTCAATCCCATTGATAACCCGCTTTGCTGATGTCATCATCTGCTCGATCCTAAGCAGATCATTTTCTTTATTTGTTCCGTTATAAATTTGGATGCTACTCATTTCACTTTCTTGTTCTTTCTTTCTTTCCTTCTTTCTTTTTTACTTTTTCTGATTTTGTGTGCAGAGAAAGGTATAATCTCGTCACTAGCGAATTTTCTTCCGATATACACTCATTCTGGTCAATTTACCTCCGTTTTTAGTGTTCTTTTCATTGTTGTTAAATCTCATGGTCATTCACTGAATCCGATCATAAGCGAGTAGTGAGTGGTCACGGTTATTCGTGAATTCTCTGCATTGGATCGCGATCTTGTGCTCTAAGAGCTCTTTGCGCCATTTGAAGCAGACCCTCAGTCACCTGATATTCAACAATGGAGAAAAATTAAAACTCCCCAATGTTCAGTTTTTACTCCCTCGACAAAACTAGAAGGTTATTGTATCGCACTTCTTTACTTTGAAAACTTCAGTAACGTACATTCTAACGGCTTCGTATGGACTTTCCACTCTCTTAAATGCAGAATCAGAATCTGTCATTTCACTAGTACGAAAGGCCAAGTTTTACTAATACATCGTACAAAACTCGGAACTTCGGGTGGACTTCGAAGCCGCGGTTACCCTTTCTGGGACTCTGCAAATTATAATCCATGTTCAAAACTTCAACAGGCTTTCGGAGATGTAAGAAAGCATCCAAAGCGTAAATCCACTCTGTAATCATCATTGAATCTTATACTCTTTCTCTGAGAAATTTGAGAAATAAGGAAATAAATAGGGATATTTTTGATAATAAATGAAGCTGTTTGAAAATTTTCAGCAAGCCTTTGTTAGAGCCATTTCCGGAAGCATTAGTTAGCTTTTGAGCGAATTTTTCCTAAATGATCGACAAAGTTCTGGTCGACAACTGCTTTTGAACTCGTGCAGTATATCCATTAGCAAATCCACCTAAGCCGAGGAAGAATCAGATTTGTGAAGGAGGCCGGCGATTCGGCTAAAAATTGGATAATGAACTTCATTTCTATCGCTTTCTTGCTTTTACCGTATCTAAATGATTTATTGTGCATTTTTTCGTCCTCACAGCCCAACTCTTCTTTGGAGTTCTCACAAAACTGTCAGTAGGACTGCGTCCATAGGGAAATGCGACAATGAGGGCGTTCGTAGGCTAGACGTGACACCGTGCATTAATACCGTGCTTCAAGAATGCGATAATGCTCAGTCAGAGAATGTGCAGAGCTCTTGTGAGTTCTTCAGTGAGATTTTCACTCCTATCCTGTAGATCACCTCCTGCAAAAGGGTTTGAACGCGTCTCGCTTTTTCAGAGTCTTATATGTCTACTACTGGTCTTGTTCATTGCCGTTTCATCTCATCCTATCGACAATGGACTCGTCGATTCTGAATTGGTACACGGTAATGAGTGCTATGTTTCCTACTTTTTAAAAAAAAGCAACAAATTGGCAGTTGACGAATTTTCACTGGAACCATAAATGCGCGAAAGAAAACCGTGTTTTTCTTAGTTCGTCATCTTTCATCTGCTTACTTTTCAATGATTTTATTGGCGTCATTACCACCTTTCAGAATGTGTTAATAACAAGTCTGTTGACCTCCTCCTCATTCTTGACGGATCAGGTTCCATTGGTGACGACACGTTTCGGAACCAGGTCGGTAAAGTGGTTGGCGATATAATTTCATTAGCACCTTGGTGTGAAATATGCTTAACTTAAAAGAGAAAACAAGCACAGTCTTTTTCCTGGTTTTTCATATGCCAATGAAAATCTTCAATATACCGACGTCATCTGTAGTCTAATCATATTGGTATCTAAAGTCATGATATAACATTGTTTCTTGGTGTATATGTTCTGAAGTCTCCTGGATTCTTTCAGATTGCATTCGCCATGCATCTTGCAGAACGGTTGAACGTCTCAATGGAAGGCAGTCGAATGGCAGTCATGCAGTATGCCGAGACTCCTCGAGTCGAATTCACCCTCAACCAGTATACACATCCAACGCAAGTCAGTGGGGCAAAATCCTTCATGTTTGAGACCATTAAAAAAGTACTGATTTTTCAACTAAGCATTTGAGACAACGCAGACCAATCAATTACGGCATGATTTTTAACCGTTTTTAACTGTCTAAGTAGAGAGCATTTTTTCGTAACTGATAGCTATTATGAAAGCTTGCATGTTCTGTTCTTATATATTATAGTTGGAATGGGCCATTCAGCGGATCAATTTTCTCTCTGGTGCCACAAACACCGGAAAGGCGCTAAAATTAGCACTGCAACGCGGATTCAGTGGCGCACGAGGAGGAAACATTCCTAGAGTAGCCGTGGTTGTTACCGACGGCCAGAGTCAGGTGAGATGAGTGGCGCTATTCTCCATAAGTGTCCGATTAGATCTAGCAGTATGATAGGACGACTTACTGGAGTCGACGCTTGTCGTCTGCTAAGGTGTGACACTATCTCTTTAAAAGGCGTTCTTCTCAGACTGGTTATTGATGGTTAGCATCACCATATAAAGGCTTAATCTTGCTCCGTCTACTGAAATGTAATGAATGTGGAAAATATAATAGGATATCTTATTATAGTTCCTTACAGAACCAAAACAACTTATCGTGGAAGTGCTGACGGAGCAGTTTTGTTCGATTTTAGCGACAATTTTTTAGCGAGTTTTTGTGCTGTACTTATTATATATTTTCGTTTTAATGGGAGCATACAGAACAGTGTTTAAAACTGCCTTAAGAAATAAATAGTGTCATTGTTCCAATCCGACAGAAGGATGACTAACCAACTCCTTCAGACATAGGGCAAATTGTCCCAGAGTTTTCTGAGAGGATAAAAACGATACTTCTCCGGCACGATAGAAACGCTGTGCTGATGTTTCTGTAAACAACCGTAAGTTATTGTGAAATGATAAGGGATCAAGTTCCCGTCATTGATCAAGTCAATCGCTGGTGGATGCACTTTCTTCGTTTTCATCTTCTTCCTCTTTCGTCTTCGTCTCCGCTATGTTCTTGCTATTTTAACGCCAACTGACGTAGAATGCTTAATACTTAGTCAAACATTTTCGTAAGGTCAGCAGATAAAACATATTACATACAGATAGAATACTAGCTGAGAGGCAGGCGAAACAAATGGCCCGCATGCTGTGGTGGTGAACGCGTTACTCTCCGGAAAGGACAATAGCGCGTTCGTTCCCCACCTCAGACACCTGCGGGCCGGAGTTTTGCAAATATCTCAGCAACACTGTGGTTAAGTCACACATAATACCGTGTCGTGAGAAATGGTAGTAGGCAGTAAATAAAAAGTTAGCCACAATTCACCACCACACCATGCGGGTCCTTTATTTTGCCTGTCTTTCAGCTAGTTCTATAGATCAGCGCCATCAGCAATCACCCGTCAACGGGATTGATCTGGGGAGCCCACCTCAGTCACCTGCGGTCCAGAGTTTTGCAAATATCTCAGCAACATTGTCGCTGTATTTCTCTTAGTATCCTGCCGTAAAAATTGTAGTGGGCAGAAAATAAAAAGGTAAAAAGTTAACATTGTGATTTAGACTACACCTTCAACTTAACTGAGTTCAATGCCGATTTGTCGTCTCCAGATCAGTCTCGTCGGCAGGTGATTGCTGATGGCACTGATCGATGGAGAACTAGCTCAGAGACAAGCGAAACGAAGGATTCGAATGGTGTAGTGGTTAAAGCGCTAATCCCCGGAAAGGGTAGTAGCGCGTTCGCTTCTCAACGTAGACACCCGCGGTCCGGTGTTTTGCAAATATCTCAACATCATTGTGGTTTCATGCGCACTATGTTAGCAGTCAGAAAAATCTAGATACTGGCTTAATGAAATGAAATAGTGTTCGGCGTTGATTAATCCTGTGGGGTGTGCTGTACAATCGGCTTAACCAAACATCATTAGAGGTGATCGAGCGTATTTCTGGCGCATTCAGTGTCTTCCATATGCTTACCACTCTGCGAGTTCGTTGCTCTTATCGTCCTAGAAAAGTATACACTAATTTGCCGATGTTGGAGAGGTGGAAGGATTAGTGTACCACAGAGCGCAGGGTCGAAGCAAAAATCCATCCAATATGCATCCCCAGTCACTCTTGAGTACTGTGCTACATGCTCCACATGATCACTAATCATGGAAAGATGGAAGCGCACCTGCTAAATGTCTATTCTATGCCTTCCATACATCTACTTTCTCAACTTGAAATACTACAGGGTCACTTGAACATGAAGTCACTACGTATATGTACAGAGGTAATGGAGTAAATGTGAACTTTTCAAAAATTTTTTTGAATGGACCCAAAATCTAGCAATTCCCAAAACCGACTTTCTGTTTCTGTCTGTTTCTTGGCATTGATTGACAACTCGATGTTTTTCTTCAATAAGCAGACACGAGGCTGTTATTATTTATTTATTATTTATTACTATAACGACACCCTCGTGTCTGCTTATTGAAGGAATCATCGAACCTACAATGCTTTGTAGGCATCATCTTCCTACAGACGCTCAATATTTCTAGGATGAAGTCTCAGAGCCGGCACAATTGCTGCGCGACGCTCACGTCATGCTGTACGCTATCGGGGTCACCAACCTCATCAACGTACATCAGCTTCATCAGGTCTTTCTTCAATTCATCTTAAGATAAAGTAGCTTTCTTCGAGGTGTCCCTTAAGGAATGCCTTGAATACGGTTAGAAAAAGAAACTGAGTGGATCGTCTATCCGTATAGTCACTGAGCATAGAAAGATGAAATGAGAGCGAAAGAAAAAACAGGTTGAAAATGGCAAATACTTATATTCTGTTAGATGTCAAATAATGCGTGATAGTAGTAGCACGATTTTCAATAATGTTAGGGAAAAGATGTTGAATTTAGATCACTGGAAATCCAGTGAGGGTATTCACAGTGGAATCGTTCGACCAACTTGACAAAGCCCTGGCAGATTCGCTTACATGGGACATGTGCAAGACCGAATTCCGTTAGTCGTATAACATCTTTATGTTTCTCTATGAATCTTATTTTTGACAGAAATAGAAGTGCTTTTGGCTGGAATACCAGTTATTGGTCGCGTTGTCATGGAGTAGAATGAATTCGACAGTTGAGAAGGAATAGACTATTGATAACATCGTTCAGATATTGTTTATGCCCATCTTGCCTCTATATTATTGTACTCGATCAGACTTTACATGCTGCGCATATTATAGCAATTGATTCATTTCTTAAAGCCATTTTTCACTAAAGTCTTCGGATTTCACATGGGTGCTCCGCTCTTCCTAGTTTTCCTTATGAATGTCGTTACATGTTAGTTGGGTTGATCTTTCTGAAGCGGTAACAGAGACGAGTACCAATTTTTCCGCTCTTAAGGAAACTGGGTTCCTGGGTAGTTTCAAGCCAGGTCTTCGCATGCATTCAATGACATCAGTACCATTCTGTTACCTGTACCACGGTTACATACAACTAAATAAAACTGATGTAAAAAAGAAATGAAAGAATTGAAATAGGCAACTAAATCTCTTCCTTGCTTGCACTCATTGCACATGTAGCAGCCAACTTATTTACCATTAGTAATCGTTTTTTCTCAATACCGGATAGGACTTCCTAAGGAATTCTCGTCAAATTTTTCCGATACTCGAGGAACGATAACACTTAGAACCAGCGCAGTAGCCTTGATTAGTTACTACAGTATGCAAAGCATTAAAGAAGATTGTAGTTAGAGTAACAAACAGTATGATATAACAATGATTAGATTCTATTTAGTGTATTCTTTTCCATAGCAGGGTACGATATGAAATACCACCACAAGATTGAGCTGTGAGCAGAACTAAGGATCTCATGTGAGCTTCAAACCTGCAACTGCCCTTAACGAGAGCTCACGTGCTAGCCACAACGACAACTGAAGCTCCTCCTTGCCTTGTACTCAACCTTGTTCTTACACTAATCGGTGCTAACAGCAATGTGTAGAGGAAAATGGTCTGGCATGCAAACTTCAGCTTAACAGAGTTCAGAGCTGATGTAATGGATAATACGTGAGCTCCTAGTAAAGGTAGTCTCTGGCATGAGATCCACATGAGGTTACACGAGTTCGCTCATGACTCAGACCCTTGTGGCAATATGATGACACTCTAAAACTACAATTTTATAGGGCCTGGGACCCCAGATATAATTTGTGGACCAGATCGAATCGGTGTAAGGGCGTCGACAAAAAAGCCGTTCGACGGCTTCGTTTTCGTCATGGATCACTTCCATCAGGAAGAGTGCCGTGCAGGACCCGAGAAATTTCCCGATCCCAAGAGCATCGGTATCACAGTGCCATTCAATGCATGCAACGTGCATAGGTATCGATCGGTTAGTGAACCTTTTCTGCTCGCTGTGTTCACTACCTAACTGATTATTTCCAAGTTTTATGGAAAATAATTCTCAATTAATGAGCATCAAGAACTCTTGAGCACACGACCGTTTGAAAAGATCGCAGACTAAAGCCGATCTACTCGATGTAGTGTGGAAGATGTTCATAGTTCCTAATTTTGTTCACGGTTTTGTTTTTGTTTTCGCAAATAGAGACGAGAAATATTGTCAATAAGTAGTCCAAGTTCTCCCTAGAACAACAAAGTTTCTATTCTTCTATGTGTTTTAATTTCAATGAAAGTTATGTTTACATCGTTCAATTCCCTTCAATAATATTTCAGCTGAATCCACGCGGCATCTTTGTGGAAATGACTGTCGTTTTCATGTTCCACACTCTGTAAGCAGTTTTTGTACACATCTTTGTTTTTCCACACATCTTTGTTTTTCCATTCTTCTCTCCATTTGGTTTTAATCCATTTTTTTTCTTACAAATCCCTTTTAAGTGAGGGTAAATCACAGTTAAGTTCTAACCAAATCGACAGTGCATTTGTACTAGGGAGCATGCTGTTCCGTTGGCTTGCTATCAGAGTTGTGCAGGGATTTGCCCTTGACGCATTCACTCGTGGATTTATGGATATAGGTGTAGGTGTCCTGCAAAGCAGGTATTTGCTATGCATGCGGATGCGGTTTGGGACCACGATCAATTAATCCAACACCTTTACGTGAAGAACTAAGTGAACCACTCATAAACTGCGCAACTCTACGTCGAAATCAAGTGAGGTACTCGTTAATACTTTTTCGCCAGAAACAGTAGCAATCCAGAATCTGATAAGAAGAGTGTGCGGTATGCACGTCAGTTACACCGAATCGAGCATTTAGTGGTTCCATGTTGTTTTCGTGGGATTGTGGGAGTGCTTGTAACTCAACCAATGGTGGCGACAAATTAAATGGGAAAAATACACAGTGGGATTAGAAAAAACCGATAGATAGATACTCCTTCTAGACCAAGAATTCAGGACTGTAGCTGTTGTTTTCTGGCATACTTCAATTTCATAGAGAGATTATACCATGCCCTTCCAACGGTTTACTGCCTCATCGTGGCTGGGAGGTGTTCCTGAGTGGCGAACTGCAATGTACAGCTGGAGATTCATCCGCTAGCAGGGCCTCCCAAGCTGAGAAATCTGGAGTTTTTATCAGGAAGCCTAGCTAAGAGTAAGCCAATACCAGGATCCACCACCGTCCTCGTATCAAAGCCGCATGGTGGCAAATCTCTCTCTGATCCACAACGGCTGCGGCTACCTGTGGCGGTGAAGATCTGGGGCAGACTTTAGCCAGGATGTCTTCGGGATTCCAGGGAACCACAATGGCTTAACCAGCAGATCTCCGAAAAATGGAGATTATGCTGGAGCCCGCACAACCAGTGAGGACGGGTCATTCAAGTGACAAGTGTCAAATTATACTATGGAGGTGGATTTTCAGCGATAAACAGTTTCAAATCCTTCCCGCTAGAACTGTAAGAAACACTACGTTCACCAGAAGATTCTAGAAGAGATATTAAGTATTGTACTGTTATAGTATTTAAACGACGTTATTTTCAATGCCACGAAACGAGTACATGATATTTCCCTTGTGTGACATTTTGAACATTGTAATATTGTTGAAGTATTAATGAATTGTTTGTAGATTTATGACAAAAGTGGACCAAATGGTCAAGATACAATGCTTTTACATGGAAGCCGATAAACAGGTTACCGTCCCATTGTCCGTCAGGTACGCTTTATGGGAAGGGCCAACTGCAAATCTAATTCTTATTGGACCCATTTCCTTTCGAGTTGTTTTTTTGACTTACCTTAGAATTGTTCTATGAGTAATGTACATTAGCTAACTAGCATGCCATCTCCCAAATGTGTACGTGGTAGTAAAGTCGTTTTAGTTCGTCAAGATTTAATTTTCTTCAAACTCTGACTCTTTCAGATTTAAACATTTAAAGGTCAGAAAAAGGAACCAGCTCTCTAGAATGAGAGGATTCTCAACAACATTCACAAAATTTGAGTCGATTTGAAACACCTCCACCTAGCCCGAATTCATGTTTTAGAACGTCGGTCGTCCTCAGGCTATGCGAAGAAGTTGTTTTTTAGTATGATCACAACACAGTTTCGTGAGAAGATGTATCAGATGCCGCAATGCACGTACACCCTTCGTAAGGCCAATCCGGACGGCGAAATTGTACGCTATGCGAGTCTTGGTGAGAGCGTCTATCATCGGTGAGTCTTCACCACCCCTACCAAAACATCTGAGCACGCGAAAACATAAACGGTTTGCGTGAAAACATTTCTCAGCAAATACCCCGTCCGACTTCAGCTTTGAGCTTTGAACTCAATGTGGGGCGTCCCAGTTCTTTCAAAACTCTTATCAACCGCAAGGTTGAATATTATGAAACGAAAAAACTTAGATCGCTGAAAATCTGACGGCACAAGCTTGCCTTCAAGAGAATGTTCAAATCGGCCTTTGTTGAAACTAAGTAAAAAATCAAGGAAACCCTGGCAGATATAAAAGTTGACAAAGGAAGCAGATTCAACCCTTTTCGGTGATGCTAATAAAGTCAGGAAGACTTTATATTTGAGTTAGTTCATAGAGGTTCCATCTGCTGTTTGAGTTATGGACCTTTGTTCACAATTTCTATTACGCAAGTCCAATATTTGAGAGGCGGGCAATCACCAACTAAACGTTGTACAGGCTGACTTGATTCCTGTCTTTATCGACTGAGAAAAAAGGTTTTAGTTACGTAAACAATTCAAATCTAGTTAAGCACAAAGTATCACGGTAACCACTTTTCTCCTGACGGTAAGTGGTAACATGCACTGCAAAAACTTTTATACCGTTACTGGATAGTGTATTCTGCAAGCCCACACTAGAAAAGCCAGTAGGAGAAGCAATGATCCACTTGAAGGGTTTCTTCATTGATCTCAAACTCCCTTCACGATCATATTCCACTCAGGTGGGAGTGTATGGAGGAGAATGAGAAGGACACGTTTGGAATGTTGGTGCACTCTTGCTACGTCGATAATGGCTACGGCGATCGTGTCGACATACTCAGTGAAAAAGGGTGAGCCATTTTTGTCATACTTCTACAATATCCTTAAATGAACGTGATAACAAGGTGCGAGATTTTATTCATCAAAAGTTCTAGAACGTTTCCTATTTTCTTCACGGAGTTTTCTTACAGTTCCTCTCTTATGGGGTTAATGCAACGTCTTTCTCATTTTGTACCTATTGTATACGGTGTTTCTTTGGGCATCCAATTTAAAATATACTAGCCGTAAGCTGAAATACTGTCTGTATACATCAACAATATGAATTGAACTCAATTTCGAGGAGATGAGTAGCGCAGTGGTAGCGGTGCTGCTCAGCGCGAACAAGACGCTGCCTCGATCATTCAATAGGTCCACCAAGTTTTGAGTTCGTCCGGCGACGGGAAATAGCTACCAGATTCGCTTGGGTCCACCTAGCTTCCTCGAATCCACGAAAGACAGCGCCTATTTGTGATGAAGATGGGGGAACTTCTAGCTCGGCGATCCTAAGAATCGATGGAGAGTCGGACTCGACCAGCATTGAACAGCATTGAAAGGAAGCAACCGAATCAATGCGAAAAATCCGAAGACCTTCATGAAATGTGAATGCGAGGAAACGAATCGAAATGCTGGGGTTCGCAAAAGGTATGATGGTAGATCATGTAGAAAAGTCACCTCAGTAATTGGCCATTGAATATAAAAAGACTGTGCTAATATAAGGCGCAGTTGCACTACTTTTAAGAATTGATTTCAGGAAAACGGCTAGGCAATGGCATTTGTGGTCGTTGAGCATTCTCAGCTCTCATCAGCCGTTCATTTTCGCAACAGCGCTTCGACTAATTCTTCATATTGTTTATGTAGCCTTCCATTCATTGCGATTAGCTCCTTATAGCGATGATCCTTTGCAGTTAAAAACATTCAAGAAATAATTTTTACGACTGACTTTCTATTAAGCTCGGCATTGATCAAATAATTTGTAAATGCGTCGTTTTTTTTCTCAGCAATCGCGAGGTTGTCAAGCAGCTTACGTTTACTTCCGCCCGTTCCGGCAGAATCGCCTTCTTCAGAGCCTGGAAGGGTACACTAATAAGCAACTTACTAGGTCAAACGCTTCAATAACACATACAGAAAGATGAGAATCCAAATGGTAGTCACACGGTCAACAGCTTCTCGAAAAACCCACCGTTTTTTTACGTGCCTTCCACTGACAAAGAGCCGCTGATCAGCGTCGCATATGGTTGACGACTGCACCTCCACACATCAACCATCGATACGAAGGTACGGGGAGAGATCACGTGTGATCTCGGGGCATTGCTCCCTGCTGTTCATTTTAAGGTTTCTGGCATTTATCCAAAAATGCTCAAGAAGCTTGCGCGCTGTTTTGCCAACCTGTGCGAGGATAGTGGCTTTTATATCAAAATCGTCTCTGCTATGCTTCTGTATCCTATGCGTCCCTAGTGGCATGCCTTGTCTTGCTTTTCGTTTGCCGTCTAGGTGTTCTTTTATGCGAATACAGAAAGGTCTGCCCGTTTCGCCAATATACTTATCTCCTCAAGTACTACAAAAGATCAATATATCGTACCTGAACTCATGTAGTCACCGTCCCTGCCATAAGGGCAGATTACCCAATCTTGTGTTTCACATAAACGGTCAAATAAGCGGTTACGAATTAACTGATGATGAAGAGTGTTGGGTGGTATTTCAACTATCGCTACGGATTCCTCTAGGCCTGCCCTTCTTAGGCGCCGTTTTATAGCTATACTTACTTCATCGCTAATAAATGGCAGCATAAACGGGACTTGCTGTTGACCAAGTGTTTGGTCTTGGAGCGTCGCTCTCCTTTTAAACATATCTCGTCGGGTTACCATTTCATAGCATTGGAGATGGCTATTTGCCGAGCCAAGTGGCGCAATTCCTCCATTCATTCGTTCTTCGTACACACGGAGGTGGCTGTTCGAAATATGTTTCTCACAATCGCCCTCTTTCGTTGATGTGGAGAGGTGCAGTCGTCAACCATTGGCGAACACAATCAGCTGTTCTAATCTTCTTCAAAGGAAGGCACATAAAAACGGTGGGTTTTTCGAGAAGCTGTTGACCATGTGACTGCCATTTAGATTTTCGTCTTTCTTTATGTGTTATTGAAGCGTTTGACGTGGTGAATTGCATATCACTATGCCCTTCCAAGCTATAAAGAAGGCGATTCTGCCGAAACGGTAGCTACGGTGGTATTGTATGCGTGTTATTGTACGGGAGTAAACGTACGCTGCTTAACAACCTCTTGGCTGCTGAGAAAGAAGACGATGCATTTATAATCCAATGCCGAGCTTAATAGAAAGTCAATCTTGGGAACAATCAATTTATGTTCTTGCTGAGAAGACAAGGGGTACGGTTTTACTCTTTATTACGATGGAGCTGACGTGTCGGTGGATTTCGCCTTCCTCAGACCCTGGAAAGGTCAAGTGAAAAGGTTAAGCTCGAGTAAGGCAACCTCACCCGACGATGTTGTTTTATACAAAACGGTTGTTAACTGGTTGTCATCTGACAACGATTTTTTTGTCGACAATCAAGCCAGCAGCAGTCGGTATTAGAATAAAAAGCACAAAGTGTAATAATACTGTACTAAACCGACTTTCACTTAAACGAGTGAATCGAACGGTGCTCCACCGACGGAGATCCGACTCGATAGGACAACAAAGATGCCAGATCGAGAAGAAGAACAACCATGTACCATCGACTCATATCATCGGCTCTGACGAATACGAAGACGTCCAAACGTTAGCCGAATAAAAGTTACCTAGCAACCTCGTGCGAGCTGAATGAACAATGCAAAAAAGTTTATTGATTATTTACGTAGAGACGAAGTGAATATCAGTTCAGAACTGTGTAATTTGTCAGTATTTGGTTTATCAGATGTGTGAAAAGGCGAATAACGCAGTGGTAATTATGCCGGTCGCCATTAGCACGGTGCTGGTTTAATTCCGCCCCAAGCTCACCAACCCTCTTATCTCTCCAAGGACGGAAAATTAGTACTGAACTTGTCTCGGAGAACTCAATCTTTGCAGTCTAAGTGGGAACCCGGCTATCTCAAGGCTCTAGGGACAATCGACTCGACCAGCACTCAGCAGCACTAATAATCAAGACCCTCAAGCAGCAGCCGAAGCAACACGTAAGAAGTTGGGAGACCTTCGTAGATGATGGATGCGAGGAAGAAGACCAAATACAAGTGCTGGGATCCGTATAGTCGGTGTAAAAGACAGGTTGTGCGAAAAAATTTTCGTTTCAAGCCGTTTTACTCCAAACCTTTTAAAAAACTTTCAACTATCAAGTGATGCAATCTTATAGGGTATGCCGGCAAACTTTTTTAAAACATTAAAGTAAGAAGCAACTATGCTTTTCCCACTATAGGAACCGGTTTGCTAATTCCTTCTGCGCCTCGAATATCAAAGGGTTTTCTCGCAATTTCCTGAGATTGTCGTTTAACACTCTATTCTATGTTTTAACGTTTTGTTTTCTGCCTTCTATAATTTTCATGGCAGGTTACTAAGCGAAATACAACCACAACGTTGCTGAGATATTTGCAAAACTCTGGACTCTATTCTATAGCAAAATGAATTCTTTTCCGTTGGCTCTGTCACTAACAATTCATAAAATTATCTCATGAAATAGCCTTACTCACTGACAGACTTGTTGTTTATGTTAAATGTAGAAGACTGTAATAAACTACTGAACTATTTGATAAGCATAAAGAATCCTATCTCTTTCAGATGTGGCCTTGATGCAGTACTTCTGTCCACTCCCGACTACGACGATTCGCTTAGATTGGCCACAAAAGCCTACCATGTTTTCAAATACGCCGACCGTCCTGTGTTGCAGTTTCAGTGTCAGGTTAGAATCATATGGCAAACCAGCTGTAGACCTTGGCTAACATTTTTAAGAAGATTGTGGTTACATACTGTTTCAGATTACACTCTGCCTGAAATACGATGGCGGCTGTGATGGTATTACCCCGCCAAAGAACTGCCCCACTTTGTACGGAGAGAATGGCTACCATCATCATTATGGAAGCAAAAGAAAGGCAATCCGTCTCATAACCTTTATCCCAGCTCAAAATAATGCCTTAAACTATCTAAAAAATGAGTAACCAATTGTCAATTCATAGAGAGGAAGTCTTATTTAGGCTCGAGAAGTAGACGGCATTGGAACCGTAGACGTCTTTACGGATTCAGTAACGGTTGTCGATCAATTGCCGATTTGTTCAACATCGGTACTGATCTTTGTACTTGTGGAAAATAATAATTGTAACCATATTCTGAAAGAAGAGATGATGCAAAGATGCGAAGTCGATAGTCAACAATCAATAACAAATGGATAACTAAGAAAAATGATTTCATTTGCTAAAACCTTTATAAAATGAGACCCTTGTGGTGAAATTATCAGGTTTGAATTTGTTTGAAATTTAGAATTCCTATTTTTCTTAGAAAGTACTAACAGAATTATGCTTGGCCTAATAGAGTTTCTAGTTGAATAGACCATAGCATGACTTCTTTTCCATAGTTCCTAACCCTTACAAGTGCGCTTCCATCTTTATCGCAAGAACAATTAACTATCAAGCGCAGACATTTACTCCAAATGGTGGTGATTCTAGCAATTGCATCACTCTTAGTTGACTTTCCTTACACGATCTTTGATGGTCAACATCACTGATAGATCCAAATTCTCACAGTTAGTCAAAATCAGAGGATTTGTGGGTTACAAAGAATAAGAATACTATGACTACGACTGCTTTCATCGTTTTCGAATGCTCTGCCCGCTATTCGCGAGATTCGTCGCCATACTAGAAGAATACGAGTCGAAGCGCAATAAGCTTTCTCCCAATCCGCGAAAGTTGGTAACTGCGTGTGATGGGAACGCCATGGCCTGGCGATCTCGGGTTAGCAAAGAAATCATGCTTGACCAAAACTCAACGTGTTAATAATGAAGAATAACGGAGCTTCAAGATGCAACCGAAGTCACCTACAGACTCGACTGGCCATGTGGATGACAGTTTCAAGACAACGAGCTGAATGAATGAACTGCTAGGACCCACATAAGATGTGAGGAGAGCTCATCGAGGTTTCCATGCATTAAATATACGAAGCCGACGTGCTCCTGAAAAATGACGAATTCCGAATTTCTTGAATACATGGAGAATTTTTTTTGATTGCTATGTCTATATTTTGACGTCGTTAAGAGTTATTGTTCCCCTTGCCATAATTACAGCCACAATGTTAAGAACTTTGCAGTACTTATGACATCCTGCATATTTTCAGGTATCCCTAATCAACTCAGCGATTATTCTTGCGTTTACCGTCGCCAATATGGTCATCTCAATCGTAACAATAGTAATCTGGATTTTTACGCTAAAAAAACCATCGAAAATGAATCCAACCACATGACATACAATTTGATGATTCTCACAACTCTAAGTAGTGCAATGAGCCTTGTCGTAGTTAACTGCATGACCCTAGAAGGACCATCGCAGGAAAGTTGGAGCGAAAGTCATCAATACGATAGAGAGTAGGTGTTCGAGCTCGCCTCGCTTTTCATACGGGCGCTTCGGCGCTTCGCGACGACGCGATGACTGCGCGAATCGCTGCGTTGCGCCTTATCACCAGTCGTCGAGCGCCCCGTCTGCATTTGTGCATGTTTTCCTTCGTCGTCTAGAATCGTTAACCCTCTTACGACCGTACGTCTTGATTTCAGTGCGCACCTCAAGTGCGATTCTGTAACATGCGGTTGTGAAACGGTTGACTTTGTGTTCTTCGTTGCCGGTAATGTGAAATCTGCTGCAAACAAATGTCTCATACTCCTTCATGGTGTTTTTTCACTATCCTTTCTTTCTTTTTTCTCATCTGTTTCCTTATCTCGTCGCTTACTACCTCATTTCATTGCTAGTTGAGTATTTGCTTTATATGAATTATATGAAATCCACTCGTCAGAATTTATTTTGTCCGTGGAATGAATTTATCATTTTGGTTACATAAACCGCTTTCCAAGCCTCAAAGCCATGACAATCTGATGATTATCGTAACTTAAAAGAGAGGAATACAACGAAAAGGATGCTAAGACATGAGCAAAACTCGGAACCTCAGATGAACTTCGAGCCCGCAACTACATTTTCCTGTCGCTCACGTGCTATCCACTGCACCGCACGAGGCCTTGACTTTGTTTTTCTCTCAGTCAGTTTTTTACCCTAAAGGTGCTATCAGAAATCACAAGTCAGCGGGAGTAATATGTACAGCCCACGGTAAAAGGAGGATTCGCGTGTACAAAGCCCACCTAAAGTTACAAGTTTATTCATATCTCAACATTCTTGTGGTTGTACTTCACTTTATAGCCTACTATGCAGAAAATAGGCAGGAAATAAAAGTTGACACATTATTAGGAAGAAATGACGCCCATTTTGAAGGCGATTTTGGTTTGTGATGTGATCGTGAAACACTCTCTTGAACTATTTTGTTCAGAAGTTCTTGATCAAGCTAACATTATTCCTAGACAAACTGAAAAATGTGCCGGGCATGCGAGTGCAATAAACATAGAAGGACTGAATACTTATCTGGGCTATACAATGATTTTCGGGAGATAACCGATGCTTAAAATCATTGTTTTTATCCTCGCAGACAAATCTGATAAAACTTGGAGCCTTCGGAATATCGGATGCCTTCTTCAACCGTAAACATCTCATCGAACGACAAGTGTGTGCCTATTGCAGCACAACTTTAGCCACTGCGCTATAGACGCATTCTCAAGCACTGCGAGAAGAATTGACGTCTCTTTATTACGTCGTTCTCACCATTCCTGACTCTTTCGAGTTTGAGAGATTTTAATGGGATTCTACCAGGCTTGAATTGCCGTAACTTCGGTGAACCTTATTATTATGAATGGAAAAATACGACCAACGCTTCGGCTGTCCCTGGTAAGGTCGGCACTGCATTCGGCACAAACTGGGGTGAAAAGATCGTACCATTTAGCGTCCATTAAAACGGCTTTTTGCTCAATAAATCTACGAAATTCATAGGAATTCGTGCCGAGTACTGTAGGAAGTAGCAACATCGAATGGGTTACTAAAAATGTAGAAAAGAAAGGCAAGACGAATTGCTTTCATAGCATGTTCGTTTTCGGACAGGCCATCTATTTTTGTACCTTTACCCATTTGGATACCTGGATGGTCCGTCTTCAACGGTTGTGAGGACCCCAGCACAACTTTCATTTTTTTGGAGCTTTGCTGGTTTAGCCATTGTGGTTTCCTAGAGTCCCAGGGTGAGCCAGTCCAAAGTCTGTTCCAGGTCGTCACCACCAAAGGCAGTCGGCGCCGCTCCGGGTTAGACGGAAATTTGCCACCATGCGCGTAGTTTGATACCAGAACGGTGGTGGATTTTGATATTGGTTTCTTCTTAGTCGGGGTACCTGGTGGAAACGCCAGATTCCTTCTCAGTTTGGGAACCCTGTTGGGAGGATGAATCCGTCCGCTGTACATCGCACCTGACACCCAGGAGCATTTCCCAGTCACGATGAGGAGGTAATCCGTTGGGAGGTTTTTTGCCTTTAGAGTTTATATTACTTGAATTTTTTCTATTTTTGTTTTTATATGACCCGTCTTCACGTCTACTGCGCGGTTCTTAGCACTACTCCCATTCGATTCGTTTCGTCTGTGGCTTCGGCTCCTGCATGAGGATTTCCATTCCATCTTGAATGCCGTAGGATGCTGGTCGACCGATCCTCCCTCGTGTCCTGAGATAGCCGGACTGGATCGTCTCTAATTGGATCACAGGAAGTGATTTTTTCCCCGAACAAGTCCGCCACCAATTTCCCGGCCCCGGAGGGATGAGTGGGTTGATGGCCCCGTAGAGGAATCGAACTAGTACCGTGCTCGTGATGACCGACATCACTACCACTTGCTATCCGCCCCATACATTATTTAAATAGAGCATAGAAATTCAAAAATTGACAACAACACAGTATTTGGGAACATTTGGCCAGTTAAAGGAGAAAGAAAGGAAAAAGCATAACACACAGACGTATAAATGCCAGGAAGGAGAAGAGTAACGAGAAAATGTGTATAAGGTGACGTCTTGTAAGCAATACAGGTGCGCCTGTAGATTAGAGAAGTCACGATCCTCTGCTGCCTCCTTTCGCCTTCTCGATCGCTGGTTGATTCGAATGCATTCCAATAAAGCCTCCAATGTGTCGTTTTCTTGTTCAGCAATCGCGAGGTTTTTAAACAGCATACATTTACTTCCATAGAGAAACACAACACAATACAACGCTAGCTGACGTTTCGGCAGTATCGCCTTCTTCAGAGCCTGGAAGGGTATACTGATATACAATCTACTAGGCCAAACGCTTCAATAACACTTACAAAAAGACGAAAAACTCTTCGGTAATTACATAATCAACAACTTCTTGAAAAAACCCACCGCTTTTTCGTGACTTCCAATGAGGAAGTTTGGAACAGCTGATTATAGTCGCATATGGTTGACGACTGCACCATCCCACATCAAAAATCAATGCGAACATACGGGATCAGGTCGCGTATGACCTCCGGGCATTCGTCCCTGCTATTCATTGTAGTTTTCACGCTGGTGATATTGACTTTTACTTCAAAATCGTCTCCGCTATGCTTTTGTATCCTATGCGTGCCTAGTGGGTGCTTCGTCTTAGTTTT